TATATATATATATACACACGTACGTATATATATATATATATACACACATACATATACATATATATACATACACTGTGTGTGTGTGTGGGAGTGTGGGAGTGTTTGTTGCAACATATAGACAGGGAGCAGCTGGGACCTGTTAGGGACAGACTGTGTGTGCATGCGTCTAAAAACGTATGTGTCTTTGAGTTCATGTGCTGCATCGCCTCATGGTGTGCGTGTGTGTGTGTGTGTGTGTGTGTGTATGGGTCAGCCAGCCGGTTTGTCATGCAGTGGAGATGGTGGCGTCTCCAGGGGTCTTTTCACAGTAGGGCAACACGACAGACCCTGTTTCCAACAGCAGTGAGCAGATGGCTGAGCTTGTTAGCAGGCGTGCGCCGTACCAGGGGTCAGGAGGCAGCATACCTCCAAACAAGCACCCTAACCTGTTGCTACTTAACAGCACACCCTTTTAAATCAAGTGATACATGACCTCTCCACATTTCTTTTCCCCAGCATCTTACCTGTCATACAAAAATATTTCTTCACTCATATTTCTATCAGAAAAACTCTCATGGCAATGGCGATGTCCTCGGTCTTATTCGGACTGGGTACCTTTGTCAGATAAAGGTGAATATTCCACTCTGTTATCTTTTAAAAAATAGAAATAAAAAAATCCATCCATGGACATCATGCATTTCTAGTGTTAACTGTACACTGCTGATAAAGATGTGCTCATGCAGAAGATTTGTCTTTTAGTTATTCTTATTTCCTCATGAGAGTAGTGAGCAAAAAACACAATTTGCATGAAGCTTTTTAGATTTACCCATTAATCAATCATTGCACTTTTGTGTGTGGTAGCGTTCACCATGTCGTCACCCTATGAAGGAAATCTCTGTTGTTTGGGAGTAAATAAACTTAACTTAAAGTTAATAATGTGTAAACCTGCTCCATGAAGCGGTTTAGCTTCTTTTAGTTATTTGTTTTGTTTTTTATGGTTTGTATCTTCACTGTTCGGGTTCAGTCTCACTTCTTTCATCAGCAATGTTTCCAGCAGAAGCAGTCAGCTGAAAAACAGAAAAAACAACAACTTCATGCTATCTCTATCGTTCCATGTCATCATGTTAATTGAATGAATGACAAAGGTCAAAGGGTGCTCCTCCTCAACACCACAGCTGGTTTTGTTCTTCATTGTACACTTTTCCCCATGTTTCTTGAAATCGTAGCATGTCTTGCTGAGTTGAGCTTTAGACTTAGAGGCAACAATTATTTGCAAGGAGAAGCCAACGCTGCTCTCTGTGCACGTTATTTCGGAAAAATAGAAAATTCACCCCGATACTGAATCTCTCTAATGAGGTGATTAAACTCTAGCAGGCAGGAAAAATTGAGTACATTTTGCCATTTTCATACTCCCTGGGAAGATACAAATCTGTCGTCTGGAAGTCAATCTTCCCGATGATGAATGTAATATTTTTGCATCTCCCTCTCATTCCCCTGCTCTTGTTGTCTCCCATCTGCCGTCTCCCGTATGTGATGGTGATAAAAGTGGTCAAGACCTGAGAGGAAACAGAAAAAAAATACTTGCTGGAGAAAAGAAGAGACATCCCCAAGTTTTATGGAAAAATTACAATTTATATTAATGTTGCGCAGACAAAATGACAAACAAGAGGGTATAAACCTGGATCAACAGATCAATATTTCATCCTCTCTCATTCGGCTCTAGTAGACTTCTCTGTCGAGCCCTTTCATCTTCACAACCCTCTTTCTGGGGTCAATTTTCTCTTCCTCTCCCTCGAACACAAGTCAAGAAATAGCTCAGACTGATAACGGATGCACTGTGTGTACCTGCAGTGAGTGTGCGCCTGACTGGGCTTTAAGCCACTGGAAATGGCCACGGTTGCTGCTGAACTACGGCATTGTTGTTCACTTTCCAAGGGAGTTTTCTAGGTTAGGTCATTTGTTGGGGGAGAATGAGCGCAGACAAAGAGTTGCTAAATACCTCTAAGCTTCATGAAGTACATCTCGACTGGCAGGACTCAGACCTCTGAGAGGATGCTCAGAGAACGAAAAAAAGAAAAGCCGACAGACTGTTAGAATTGTCAAAACGGAAATTGGCCCCGTAACCGCACTAAGCCGGTTTATACCACTGAGCCGAGCCAAACAAAAAGATGATTTTGTCACTTTCCTCCAATATCAGACAAATGTCTTACTTATCGTTGGATTCACGAGCAGCTCAGCATGTGTGCTGCTCTCACAAATGATGAGGTGAGCGAAGCTCTGCTATTTCCTTCGACTGTTTATCCTACAATCTGCTGAACGCAGCTGTTTGCTGCAGATTGGCAGCCAGTACATTTTTTCGAACAATGCCATGTGTGAGATGCAGGGCTTTTCATATTGCCTGTGTTTGAGTGTGTGCTTGAATACACTATTATTGTCTTATCTTGTGTATTCTATGATAAAACAATTGCGTACCTTTTTATTGCTCTTAATTAATAGAATGTCTGTCTTTAAAGATTGAGGTACGAGTGATTCCTGATCAATAAACTTGATGTTTCTTGAAGCGTCAGAAAGCTAAACTACATTGGATGTATCTGCAACGTTTCCCGTCCCCCAAACCAGAGAAATCATATTTCACTCAATCAGCCACAGGAATTGCAGTCTGTGAAACTTGTAATACAATCGAGTCCAGCCTTCTGCTCTAAGGCATTGCTCCAACCCTCCTAAAATAAAAAAAAAAGTTCTGTCAAGAGTGTCATGCCATGCTGTTTCAGGGGATTTTGTCAGTGTGAAAATGATCAAATGGCTATTTCTTGAAGATTGGTCTCAACTTAAAGTGCCCTCAGCCCATATAAAATGATTACCAGCTGCGGCAGTCACACTGGTATTGTTTTCACCTTGTGAGTTTGTGTGTGTCATCATGACAAAATGTGGCCCTGGAGACACCTACTGTAGCAGGAACTACCTCAGAGTCGGTTTTCATGACTTTGCTCAGTGTTTAAGTGTCTGTCTGAGGACAGATTTTGTCCCCTCGATATCGTCACAACCATGCAACGTGCAGTCATGAAACTTTACAGGCGCGTAGTTGAGATCAAAATCAAGGTTGAGTTCGAATATGGGTGTAGTTTGAGCAAGTGCGCCAGAAGAAGGGGGGGTGTAGAAAGTGGCAAAAGGGCCATTGCCCCATTGTGTTAACTCTTCATTTTCCTGACGATAGAAATATTTTGAATATATCTGAGAGCGGCCAATCATACTGCGCAATTGGAGGGAAAGGTGTGTTTGGCAGAGCAGCAGAAAATAAAGATAACGTGGGACCATTTAAGACTTGGACTTGATTCTCGGACATCATGGCCAAATCATGAGATTTATATGTGACTTGACTTTAACCCCTAAATATCACGTATAATTTTTGAGAAATTAGATAAATTACTTAGTCTTTAAAGGATCAGAAAATAGTTTTAAAAAATTTCCCAGAAAGTGGTAAACAATTCAGTTTACAATGATAAAACACAGAAACAGTCAGATTGGGGAAGCTGAAATCAAAGAATATTTGGCTGTTTTTTGCTTCAGAAATTACTTAAATAATCCATTATTTATCAAATAGTTGCCGATTCATTTTTTGTCAACTAATCTAATACTTGACTTGTTAATAATTGTTGCAGTTTACAGTAAATAGGAGTTTTTATCATAGACTGTATAAAATATGGACCTAGTCTCCGTGACGTCATCCATAGATTTCTAAAGCTAATTAAAAAATGTGCAAAGAGGTATCGACCTGGTACGGCAACCGCCTGTCACTCAAAGCGGCCACGCCCTTAATTATGCCTAATTTTAAGCCTTTATATGATTAAAGTGAGTGAGTTATATAAAAATGTACCTTCTGCAAAATCTTTGTTTGTACCAGGCTGTAAACATGTGTATTTGTGCTTTAAAGATGGTTAACATGGGGGTCTCTAGGGATTGACTCACTTTTGGAACCAGCCATCTGAGGAACTGCAGTTTTTTGGCACTTCCGGGTTGGCTTAATTTCTCAGCATCTGCTCGCTGTCAAATTCCACCGCACAGTTTTCCCCCTAAAATTCTTAACAAGGTTTTCGAAGGAAGTTTTATGCCCAACCTCCCTCGTTCAGAAAAAAAGAAAACCTCCCTCCATTGATTTCTTTTACTTTGTGACCAAAATAGTGCAGTGTGCTGAGTCCCTTGTGTGTGCTGAGCTGTTCCAGACAAGCAGGCAGTCGGAGGCAGGCTGTGGGCTGGGAGCGGAGTAGAAGGGAAATGACAGTGCGTGAATCTGTGTGAGCTGCCCATGACAGGCGGTCCCAGACGAGGAAGCCAAATAAACACAGAGCCCTGCCTTGAGCCTGGAGAGACCAAATAGTAAGAGAGACAGGAGAGAGCTCGGGTATAGACACAGCCTGCAGGAGCTTCCGGAGAGGGTAATGAGTTTGGCCAGGTTCCCATGAAATGCTGAGCCGCACAGACAGAGAGAGAGAGAGAGAGAGAGAGAGAGAGAGAGAGAGAGAGAGAGAGAGGCTTCTAGTCGTCACAGTTGGGATGAAAATGTCCCCATCCCTTCATCTTTTTTTTACTCTAGAAAAGAAGTCCATTGTTTTCTGCATCAAAGAGGTCAAAATCCAATCGCATGTGACGGCTGTAGATGCCGCAGCAGAAAAACAACCACGCTCCTGCTGTTTACTGTCTGTTTTGACTTCTGAATCTTATGCTTATGCCATTTGAGCCTAAAGGTACATAGACCCGTCACCCAGTTTGGAGTACGAATGAAGAGTAATGAAAAGGCATTAGTGATATTGACCGTATTCACCGATCAATATCCATTTTTGCTTGGTGCATCTGGATAAAGTGGCTCCTGCAGTGACCCTTTCTTTCCCCTTTCCTCTCTCTTTATCTTCCCTCTTTCCTTCCTTCCTGCCACTTCCTGCTTCTACCCTTTACTCATCCAATACAGAGGGTCTCTACCAGCTGGGTGGTCCACGCTGTGTCCCTCAGAGCAGCATTGAAGGACTGGAGGACACAGAGGTAGGATCATTATGAACAGCCTCTCAGTTCATCCACCAGCAGACAAGAACATGTGGAAGTACCCAGTTATTTGTCTCGCCGATATGTGGCCTCACAGAATGTTCCCTTCTTTTAAGTCTCTTTTTTCTTTACCTGAACCCTTTTTGCAGAGGGAATGTAAGACGCATGTGCTGCTGCTGGTGGTGCATGGAGGAAACATCTTGGACACAGCAGGAGGAGACCCCAGCACAAAGACTGGCGATGTGGACACGCTGGCCTCGGTGCTGGAGAAGGTGACGCAGGCGCATTTCCAGGCCGTCGGCGAACACGTCAAGATCAAGCTGGTGCCATGTCTGGCTGTGTGTGCCGAGGCCTTCTCGCTGGTGTCCAAGTGAGTGCTGTCGCCAGAACAGGGAGTCTCACTGGTCATTTCAAGTGTCTCCTATCTGGATAATATCCAGAAGTGGTCTAAAAGGCTTTTGTTTAAATTTGACCACATACACACTGCAGACAAATGAAATGACCCATACTGAAGAAAGTGAGATTTCCATTTCTTTTTTTCATTATAAAGCAGGTCTAGGTGCTAAATAAATAATGTGAAAGTATCAAAGTGCTCAATCCATGGAGAAATGCTCACAACCCGTATTCAGAAACTGCGCCTTTTAAACGAGCTGTCAGGATGTATGTACGGTTGTCATGTCACAGCTATGCAGTAACCTGGTAGAAAGGTCGCTAAACTTCGGCTGCAGTCACGCTTTGAAGACGACAAAAGCGCAGATGCGGAAGGCCAGAAAACGCTGACCGATCAGAGCGTTTCAGTCAGAGGGTGAATACAGGTATAGTCAGACAGATGTGTTTTTTGAACAGCAAAGCATGTAAACATGTTCAAGAGAAAAGAAGGAAACACCTGTTGGATACCGTTAACTCTCACAGTCACAGGTTTATGAAAAGAACAACTTGCCCCCATAATTCAATCAAGGTATCTTGGGGCTAGGTATATCAGATGGATAATGGTTATTTCCTTTAATCTGTCACCCGTCTGTATATGTGTCTCTGCATCTGAAGATGTTCAGTAACTCCCAAAACATGCCAGAGGAATAACGTGTGCTAAAAAACAGTTACTCTACCTAGCTAACAACTATCCATTAATAAACACAAACACACGGATGGGCTGTGAGCGAGACTTTATGTCAATCATGTTATGCCTTCTGTATACCAGCTGTTGCAGCCTTTTTCTGACGCTTTCATGTAACAGGGAGAACAATTGATAATTTCAGTGACACTAAAGCTGCCATTATCGGCTGCAACACCCTTTAAGTGGACCACTTCCACTTGCTGCTTATCGGCGTAGTTACTCTTGGGAGGAGATAAGAGTTAAGTTGTGTGGAGAGACGGATGAATTAACACTTCTCAAGCATCTGCTTAGTTCAGCCAGAGAAACGCCAAGTAAATGACCAGTATGAGATTTGATGGAAAGGCTTTGCTCGTACAAGGAGCTCTCAAAGAATCCGAGCAGCGACAAGGAAAACCTATTCAATTTTAATTTTAAATCAACAACAAAAAACACATGAGGATGATGTTGAATGAAGGAACGGGTGTTGGAATAAGCAGAGTCCTAAGTGGGAAGCGGAAGTTAGTCAGCTGGTGAGTGAGCATGAACGAAACGGCTAATGTAAAAACGGCTAATGCTCGTCAGCGCTTCACCTGAACATCTTTGCTGCCTCTGCTTTTCTTTTTTTTTTTTTCGGGGGTAGGAAAAACGCAGGTGTGAACAAGTAAATTGATGTCTGAATTCCATTTAGCAGCTTCAGGTTCAGGGTCCTGTTACTGTGCATCACTGTCACGCCGTCATGGCTTAGCTGTTAGATAGTAACACCTGTTCTTTTCCTGCAATAATTCAAAACATCTGCTGTGAAAAAGGACTATCATGTGCTTCCAACTGATCGGTTTCAAAATAATATTTGACATGATACTTAGGCTCCACCGCTTCCCTTAATTTGTCTTTACGCTTTTTAGTCTCCCGTTATGTTTTTGTATTCAACCGACATTCTCACTACTTTTAGAGACAGCCTTAATTACCGTTAGGCATTAATCAACGGAGAAGGCAGGACTGTTTCAGCGGGTATTTGAGGAATCTGTCCAATATGAACGCACGCCTGCAAGAATTGGCATAGAGGAAAAAATGCCGGGATGGCTAAGGCAGTGAAGGTCAATCGAGGAAAAGATATTGACCAAATACACAGTGCAATGCGAATTAGTATGCTGAAGACATTTCTCAGCCCCTGCAAGCATGTGGCCATGTGGAATATTTAATGCGTAACCTTTTTAAATGCTGTTGTCTTTAATTAATTCTCCCCTTGAGTCCAAGAGGCAGCAAAATGAATGACTAAATGACATTATACAGTTTCCACTGATCCTGAGGCCTCTGCAAGGAATGTGTGCAGTTATGTTTATATAATCAGCTACTATTACTTCGTATTCAGGTTACATTTGTGGTGTCAATTTCAGAGTTGGAGTTAATTGTGGGTGGATGGTAGTACCTCGGTGATGAACAGCAGTCAGTAGATGATTCTTCCCTTATGATAAATTAAACAGTTTTATTTCCATTAAAAGTCACAGGTCTGATTTCTTGCTGGGAGGTGCGTTTACTTTTTTTTTTTTTAAAGTCTTGTCTGCTGCCTGTGCAGAGAACTGCTGAAGCGTGACTAATGATTTATTTTCACATTCAATGCCGCATGTCCCAGTGGTGACCTGTTTTATCTTTGACAGCGTCACTTAGTTTTCGCTGCTCTCCAATTATATGCAGAGGATGTTTTTGTCTGAAGTGTCACTAATCACCGGGACTGAGAGAAAGTGTTTGGCAGTCAAGTCGAGGCTTCTGTCTGGTTTTTGTGATTGATGTTGGGCAGAGTGAGGTAGTGACTGGAAGCAAGACGAGTGTAAAGAGATTTGAGTTCTGTAGCTGCTCGACAGCTTGACGTCCGCTTACCTTCCACCACATCCAGAGATGAATTATTTAAAAACAGCAACTGCCCATGGGAGTGGAGCAGAGCTGAGTCATTGCCACATGTCTCGACTGTGGACGCAAACGCACACATGAACACATACACAATGAAAAAAGACCCGTTCATATCAAAACGCCATGTCACAAAGGACCAAAGCTGCTTCATGAAGAAATAAACAAATAATTCAATAACATGGTCAAAAAAAAAAAAAAAAAGAAAGAGAAATCAAAAAACAATTCAAGTACCCAAACCAAGGAATTCAGAAACAGGTTTAACAGTGTGTAATATTTTGATTACACAGTATCCATTTGGTATTTATCAGATTCATTTTATTTGTAGACATATTTTTTTGAGCAGAATTTTGTTATCATAGCCTTTGTTGTTATCACCTCAAAATACAATTTACACTGCATTTCATTGTTTTCCAATAATGTGAACCTTTCCACATTCTTAAGCAGCCAATCTAGTCAGTAAACTGGCCTTAACTTGATGTATTTGAACGGGTCCTACCAATCTCATACAATCCTTGCTTGACCCAAGTACAATATATATAATAGTATAAGAATTTGCATGTAGAGTGGAAAATGAATTGTATTTTAGAATAAGGCTGCAACCAATAAACTATGTTGAAAGAATATAAATTGGGTTGAAAGCAGAGGACGAAATGTATAAACAGAAACACACAGAAGAAGTATACAAGCTACAGTAATAGAGACGTGCAATTCAGGGAGCACATTCGATAAAGATGCTCCTTGGGGAGTTAACAGGCGTCAGCCCGTAATGATGTGTGTCAAGAAGCATCCTCATGTGCTTGACTTCACTAAGAGTGAATGTTCATGTTTTCGTTTGTTAGAGGGTAACTTTGGTATTTTTCAGTCTGGAACCTATTTCCTCATGTTTTTGTGTCTTAGTGACTAATTTGAACAACAATTTTGGAAAATGGTCCAGTATTGAGCGAGAGCGCAGCAACCGGCAGCCGCAAAATGGGCTTCAAGGGTATTTGTGCAGCGTCAATGTTCACTAAAAGTGCTGGTTTTGGCCACTGACAGGCTCAGATTGATATTATAAGTGTCACCATTATAGAAAGGAACCTACAGAGAAATAAATATGTTTTTCCTTCCCCTTCACTCGATGTGGTCTCTTTGTTATTGTGTCGAAATCCCGCTCGAGGAGAAGTCGCCGTGTGACATCTGAATGTCGGGCAGCAACAGGTCTCACTCTTTACAGCATTCTTCCTCTGTGGTGCTCATAGGATCTAAGCACCCACAGGAACACCACCGGTCTCCCAAGTTTCACAGCTGGTTCACCTCACTTCTCCTCTCCATAATGTTGTCAGACACTTATAATAATCTGAGTTTGTCAGTGGTATAAAACAAGCGCTTTTAGTGGACACAAAGTTACATTGACAATGTGCAATTGCGGCTGCAGCGCAGGATCAATACTGGACCAATTTGAAAAGTTGTTGTACTCACTAGTTACTTACACAAAGAAAAAACATGACTAAATACTCAACACACTCCAAGCCAACGGCCTAATAACTATAGAGGAAAAACTCACTAGTACCTCAATACACAGGATTTATAGCACAGGTACACTCCATTAACCATTACAACACAAAAGCACATTAACCAAACATCGCTCTGGATGTCCTATTAATAAACTGAGGATAAACACTCACTAAAAACATATGATGGTTTCTGTCTTGTGACATCTTCAATGTGAATGTTTAGGCTATTCCTTCCATTTTTTGGGGCTCCGTTACTGGTAGGAATGACTACGCCCTTTGACTGTGTTGACAAAAAAAATGCAAACTTAATAACAGCTACCTGTGGGCCTCAGCCCGGTAGGCCCATTCGGTAGTCCAACATGGTTCTCAGTCTATTCCTCGTATGAGAGCTCGCTCAAAGAGCAGTGCCTAACAAGACTGTACTGTATAATCATTTGCTATTCATGGTACATTCCTTGACACAAGTGTCTGAAATTTTTTGTGACTCTCTTTTTGTTTATTCATTATACCTTTATAAATACTTTTTTTTACATTTTTCATAATAATGTAATGTTCCTGTTATAGCCCGACTGATAATGGATTTTAGAGCAGTTACTGATATTGATATTTCAGAGTTAATATTATAGATACCGGTATAGTATACCGGCTGACATATGACACATTTCATAAAGCGCGACATTTTACAGTGTAAAAATCGATATGTCAGTGCTATCTCGTAGAAAAAAAATACTATGACTGGTTGTAAATGATCTCAAACCTAGTTTGGCATTTCTGTACTGCAATATCTTGCACTAAACTCCACCAATACTGTCACATCAGAGGGGCAGACCAGAGACTCAAGCACAGACACAGACACTGGAGACGAGGTGAAGTTGAAAA